GAGTACACGAACGTTATCGGGCATCGCCCTTCATCAGGTATACGTACAGATATAAAATAGTTACGAGTTTTAATAAATATAATGCAGAGTACTTTTGGCCATACTAGACACCTCCCAATAGTTTTTATTATATATCTTGTGCCTATGTGTTTGCGTATACTGTACAGTTATTTACACTATGATGATTGTTATTTTAGGTTGGATAACATGCCCCACCCTACTGTTTATTGGTTAATTTATTCGTATATACATGCTGCTACAATTACTTGCCTTTTGTTTTTCCCTGACGTTCCCAAATATGATGCTGGCGGGAATCGAACCCACGATCTCCAGAAAACTAGCTCGGCGTCATAAGGTATTCCGCCATAACCACAGTAAATGTTTCCCCCAGATCAGTGTTCTTATTTTTTACCCGATTTCAGGTGCTCGAACTTTCTTATTTTTTTCTTATTTTTAGATACTTTTCAAACATTACAATTTATTATTGTACAGCACTGTATTACTGTACTGTCTTATATAGAGTGTATTACATTGTCACACCAACTGCAAGTAAAGTACAGATAAGATTTTTTTTTCAATATTTTTTAAATAAAAACCTCATATGATATTTTTACCTAACTTTTTTTTCCTTTCTTATTTTGTTCTTAATTTTTAAGCAATTTCGGCCTCAGTGTTCTTATAAAAATTTGTACTAAAAAATAGTAATGTAATTGAACATTTTTTATCGTGTCCACACACTTGCTAGATACTTTGTTTCTATCACAATAATTGTACTTTGCCAGGTCCACCAGATAGCATAATGATCTTGTGTGGTTGGCGGTAGAATTAACGTTATTCAGGGCAGCGACGGGGACGCTTCTGCCATGGAGGACTAGTTCCTCCATGCTTCTACCGTGATCCTTAATTGATAATAATAATGTAATATATTTGGAAAACGCTTATATAACAGCGACTCGCATAACAGTGATGATGCATTCATCCGCAAATTAAGTAATAAAATACAATCTCATTAATCAATTAATTAATTAATTAATTAATCAATCTAATCACTTAGTAAACAGATAACCAAAAACTGTGATAAGCAAGCAATGACTATAAACCATTGATAGGCCCTATAAATAATAATAATATATACAGATAAACAAAAAAGTATGTTATAATCACCTACAAATGAGGATCATGATCTTATTTGTTAAGCCTACTTTTAGGGCGTGAAAAGGCGTTTCATTTGTTTTCAAGATAAAAAGGTAACTCCTTGGTGACATTTTGATTGGGCAATGTGCGCTTAATATATAGGCCTAACACGATTTTCTTCCCTCGTCGTCATTCAGCTCTACGTTTTCATTTGTGAGCGTTACTACATCCAGGCCTATATTATTTTACCGCTTCTTTTGACCGCCGATTTTCACCGATTGACGTTTAGTTTTGCTGAGAATCGACTAGCCTACAGTACCGATATTTATTGGCCACTGATTTCCCTTCTAGACGCCGACTTTTTAATTATTTTACATTGGATGATCTTGAAGACTGAATCTAAGCTCCTCCATTTTTGACCATCGATTTTTCATTTTGACCGCCGATTTACGAAATGGGAAAGTTAACCCAGTTGGACGGCGAAGAGAGAATACGAGCTAACGAGGCTGTCATTAAAAAAACTGTTAGAATTAATGGAAAACAACCAGCAAAGAAGCCCAAGAAAGCGAAAAGGATTAAGCTCGGAAGACCAGTTAACATGAGCAGTTTACTTCCTTAATCGACGTCACAAACAAGTTCTCGCTGCACAGGAAGAAAAGCAACGCACATCGGAAGCTGCAAGTTGCAGCGTCTCACTAAAAGAGATAACGGAATATTTGAAGAAAAATGTAGAAGGGCTGGAAGAGGCAGGGATAAGTCATTCCACTGTACGCAGGTATTTAATTACGGATTCTTACTTTTTAAATGTTGATATTTTGTTTTACACGTATTGAAAATAATAACATGTTGATACATGTTGATGTAAAGCTATTCCGTTAAAATAGTGCTGTATGATTTTATATTATCATCGTTGTCGAATCATAATTATCATCAGCAGCTGTATTATTATTTTATTGTTATGGCCATTTGAATATTATCATAAGTACTTATTAATGTCAATGACTTATTATTTTGACAAAAGTAAAATAATTAGGAATCAACAGACGTTTACCATATAACTTTAACACAAAATTTATTGACAAAAAGGATCGACGTTTCGTGTCCATCATGGACGCATTCTCAAGATCAAGTGAACAAAAATAAATATAAGATAGTAAACCAAGTGTAGGTGACATGAAAGGGATTAAAATAATTAGACTTTCACTAATTTTTTTTCTTTTTATTTTAATATCATTAGGTCGGCATTTATTTTTATTGCTATTTATTGTTGTTCGTATTATTATTATTATTATTATTATTATTATTATTATTATTATTTATACGGATATATTTTTTTTATTAATATTAATATTACAGGCTAATGACTGCTCCCCGACAAAACACCAAAATGCGTCCCTGTTCAAGGGATTAGTGAAAGAAGCTTGGATCCCGCCAAAATCAAAACGCAGAGCTATGACGTCATCTTCTTGCCGTCATGATAAAAACTCGGAATGTTTCACTCCAGAAGGAAGTTGTGTTTTTGGGCTTCATGGCGCACAGGAAACGGACTGTTAACATTTAATGTTGTAGTCGAAACGAAAGAAATACTACTACACAAGTGATCATACTGTACTCATTTTTGTTATTTTAAATTTAGTTAAAGCACACAGTGATAATCCCATAGATCACTCATTTCTGGTATTCCTGACATTGGTGGTCTATCTATTATAAAGATGATTTGTTATACACGCTTAACTAAATTGGTTTCTTTTAATAAAAACATATTTAACAACTCTCCATTTTTGAGAAAGCGTTCTATTCTTACGATTTATTTTACAATGCATAAATAACAACATAAATAATTCCATGCCTGCTAATATTTATTTTAGGCCTACAAACAAGTACCGTATACCACTTTATCAATAAGTTAATTACAATAAAGCCATGTCATATTGCTAAAATATCCAAACCACCTTTCATAAAAAAAAAAAAAAAAACAAAAAAAAACGTTTTATGAGATTGTATTTCGTTTCGACTAACTAAAGCTCGTCTTAAGAGACTTAAATTTCTTCTCCGAAAAAACGCAGTTGTTATATTTATAATGTGATAAGCAGAAGCCAAGCCGTGTTTGCATTAGATAAAATTAATGTTTAGCTAAAATAGAAGGTATGAATGTAATTGTAGCTTTGTTCACACTGAATTTACTATTCTCCTTTTTTTGTGAGGGCGCTTCCTTGGATTTTACTCTCTATAGCTTTACCTCATTAAATCTGAACTTTTATCTGAATTTTGAAATGAACCATTCACTGTTTAAATTTTTGGTAAGGGTTATTATTCTATGACAGACTGTAAATCTATACATTTTCATCGGTGTTATCTTTGAAAAAAAATATCAAATTGCTACCCATTAGGATTTCATCCCAAAACCTTCCATCATTTGGTTGTTCTATCCCCGACTACTGAGCTATTATGGTCGGGTTATTGTATTCCCTCAGATCTTACCCCTCTTCATCCCAGCGCAAACAATGTAAAATGGGACCACGATTTTAATATCTAAATTTATATGGTCTGTCATAAAAGAAAAAAAAATAAAATCCCTCCTCCAACATATCCTAAAAAACCCCTGTTTAGTGGCTCATTCAAAGAACCAAATAGAACTATCTTATAATGTGTAACTATTCAAAAACATAATTCAGTCTTTTACCATAAAAAAAAAAGCGTTGGTAACCAGTTAATTTCAAGGTCCATGCTTGTTTCTAAAATATTCAGGAAAGGTATTTTGTGCTTCCGCAGTATGGGGATAACTTTTTTTTCAATCGAAAGCTCGTAACTCAATTAAAATGAAGTATTTTTTTCATTAAAGTTTCTTTTATCTCAACCCAAACACACATTTAATTGTTAATGTGGAAAACCCTCAATCAAGAAACATTCTTAAATAATCTTAATAACATTCATTATTTGTTTAAACATGCATGACATGTCTTGTTCCCTTATCCAATTTTGTAATGTGATCAATTTTGCGTGTATAGTTCGCTGTTCTTATCTTCATTGACACACGGAACTATTAAATCAGTTAAGCTTAAAGTTTGGCAAAAGCAACTTTGAAGACTGTGTTAAGGAAATTAGACTAAGAATATCAAGTAACGATTTGTCTAAACTTACATTATAATTTTTCCATATAGTTTAGTTAGCTACACCATATAGGCTAAAAGCATTTTTGCATTATCTTATGTAAGGGCCTATTATTATGGATCTGCAATAAGCTCCTGTGTACGCTCAAGTACTTAGCCTACTGCAGCCTGCTTGTAGATAGGATAGGAACCATAATGCTAATTGTAGACTGTTGACAGCGATTTTAGTGAAATAAAAGTATACTTATATTCTGCTTGTATGTCAAGTTGTTTCATGGATTTGTTGTCAAAATATCGTAGAGTTCATCTTCGCCAAAATAGTCACCTAAATAGAAATACCATAACAAATGATGGTTATAATAAGCTACGTGAATTTTAAGGGCCTATTTTAATTAGGCCTATCGACATTTTCAATAGAGTACAAAACTACGCTTTTGTACGTGGTTGGCGGTTGAAATTGTAGTCGTACTCTTTCATGAAACAGATAAAATTGGAATCTCAAAATGACGCACATCAACATTTACGATGTACTCTTTGAGGGGGAGGGAGGGGTCACAGAAAATAATGTTTTAATATAGGCCTACTCTTGAAATGTTGAAAATTGTGGATGAATCCTAAAATCAGCTTTACTATATATAATATGATGTATAATAGGGCTTATAACTTTGTGCTCTTTACCAAAAGCTGGTATAGAGTAATACTACAATTCGCTGTGTTTTATAAATGAGGCTTTTGACAAAGTTATTTTATAGTAAATTACGTTGATGATAGGATAATATAATGATGTTGTGATGAAACAAGCAATATAAAAATTATGCCTTAATTTTTGCATAAAGATAAAGTAAAGGTATTTATTAGTATTATCAGTCCTGGTGAGATGATTAATAATGATGATTTTATTCATGGTAATGATAATGAAGATGATATCGAGGAGGATTATGAACATGGTGATGATTATGATATTGATTATGATTATGGTGATGATGGGTATGATAATGATGAGGGTTATGATAATGTTCTTGATGTGATGATGTGATTACATGATAATTATGACGACATTTGTGATACTGTAAAATTGATGATCATCATCATCATGGTAGTGATTACGATTATGATGGTAATGATGGTGTTGATAATGACGGTGATGCTGAGAGTGATGATGATTATGATGGTGATTATGTTGGTTATTATCATATGTTCCTAATATGATTAGACCTACATAATAATTAGGATGATGTTGATGATACTTCATGATTTTAATAAGGATATTGATGGTGACATGATATGGTATATTTAAGTAATTATTCTGCATTATGGAAATGATTGATTACAGCATCACTTCACAATGGTGGCGCCAGCGGGGTAGGGGGAGGAGGATGGGCATTTGCCGCCCCTTCTCCCCCCGTCGGACAGGCCTACCTGCACCGCCCTGTCGTCCGACGCACGACTAAGTCGTTGGACCAAACATTTTTGAAAATAATGATTTTCCCATTTAAATAACTTTATTTTGATTGCCAATCCCTAATATTGTGGTCTAAGAGCACATTTTGGAGCAAAATAAGCCTTTAAGCTCTCCCCGTTAACCCTACTAGGACCGAGGCTTCGTCCCCCCCCCCCAGTTCGGACCCCTCCGTCG